CTGGTGAATTGTTCTAACTGTCAGGAAGTTTCTCCTTAGTTTTAGGTTGCTTCTCTCATGTTTGTTTAACCACAGTTTTTTTAATTACCCACAATTGGTCGAATTGATACTGCATGCCAAGCCAAAGCCTAATCCTATTATGGCTTAGTACAAGTCCCTGCATACTGTGGAACAATAGTAGCCTACTTTTTTTCATACCAGGGTTCTGATGGGACGACGAGCTATTTCTTAGTGAAGAGTCTTGCATTTCCAGGTTTGTCTCTTTCTTTGTTTCTCCAACAGAAGCTGTGAATGGGGAAGGTGACACTATATTCTGAGGCAAATCTGACTGTTGCCTTACCACTTCCTAAATAAAAGTACAAAGAGACAATTAGTAAAGTTTTAAATAATTATTTCGGAAAGAGAATATGAGTGTAGTTAACAAACAACATATAAGTAAACAGCAGAGGTGGGTCTCCTGCTCATCTTTGAAATTATCTTGTTACATATTACAGTTGCTGCACTCTTCACATGTAATGGACCTGTGGAATTTATTATCATAAGTCTTGATAATTGGAATTTAATTAATGGAAGACAGATTTATCAACAACTATTATAACCCTGCTAGATCAGGTAAAAGGAGTTGCTTATTCCTTTTCAAATTTATGATTTGGAGCCTTTTCAGTCAAGTTTCAGACCTAATTATATTAATGAGAAGACAATTGATAATCTTTGGTGGGATTGGGATGGGAGTTATATATCCATTGCAGCCCTCCTTTATCTCTCAGCAGCTTTTGATACCATCAACACAGTACAGCTCTGAGGATTGGGAGTGGGAGGTGTACTATTACAGTGGTTCTTCTCTTTTCTCCAGGGCCAATTCCAGTTGGTTACAGTAGAACAGTGATGGCAAACCTTTTAGAGACCGAGTGCCCAAAAACCAGCCCCACCCCTGCCCCCATCCGCCCCACCTGCCCACAAGGCCACTCACTGCCTCCACAGCCCGCCGATCACCATGGTGGCCCAGCAGCGCCATGGCAGCCAAGCTCTCTGCCCATGCCCCACAGCATCAACTGTGTGCGATGGGGCCTGGCTGCCATGTCCTTGGCTGCACTGCTCCACGTGGGCCATGCTCAGGGGCGACTCTCCTCCAGGGGAGCTGCTGGTGAGGGGGCCGAGGCGGGGCTGGGACGACGGTGCACATGGCCACAGAGAAGGCTCTGAGTGCCGCCTCTGGCACGCGTGCCATAGGTTTGCCACCACTGCAGTAGAAGGTCTAGTTCTAGATCCCTGCTGTGTGAAATGCTTCAGGGGTCTACTTTTCCCCCATCTATATTAAACATCTATATGAAGCCACTGGGTAAGGGCATCCAATAACATAAGTGAGGACACTGGTGATATCCAGTTATCCAGGTACCTAAATGATTCTGTCGATATATTTTTCAGTGTTTGGAGGCTGTTTGGGTCAACCTTAGTAAGCCCACCTGGCTGCATCCCTGCCCCCATTTTTTTCTATCTAACTTTAAATAGAGTTACATCCCCCCAGATAGTGTTGGTACACAATTTGGGGATTTCTTGGACTCAGAGGCCCTGCCATGGCCCAGAGGCCTTTTCAGAAATGCACTTTGGGTGCCAATTTCTAGATCATGCCCTAGTGATCCCACATTTGAACTAGTATAATATGTGATGGAATGTAGTCTGGATTCTTAGGGAGGGAGCACATTGGAGAAGAGTAAGAGGCAACTCAGTTCAGATCATTTGTGTGAGAGAAAGAGACTAAAAACAGCCCCTCTCTAATAGTTCCCAGAGTATATGTTTCACGTAGGGAGTAGTTTGCTTTAGCTTGGCAAGATTCTGTCTATAGGTGTGAAAAAAATGTGCTTAGAAGAATCATTACATGATAACTTGATTCTTGGGACCTGACATCCTGTTCCATATGTGTGACTGCTGTTGAAGAGCAATTGAAAGACTCAACTACTTTGGCAGCAAAGATAGTCTTGGACATCTCATGATATGCTCATGTATTATTAGGACTGTATGAACTGCACTGGCTCTTGATGAACTTCAAGATGCTGGCTGTCTTCTATAAAATCCTGTGGGGACTTTATTTGTGGGACAGCTTTTCCCTAATTGTTTCTGTTCACTTCATCAGATCTGTCATAGTAGGATACTTTGGGTCTTTATATTAAGTAGTCCTGGCAGAACTCAAGACATGTGTCTTCTCTTTTGTAGCATCTATCCTGGGGAACAATATCCCCACCCCTTGCAAAGATCTGGAGAGCTCTCAGCTTGTTAGTTTTACATAAAGTGCAAAAGATCTGGCTTTTTCCTCAAACCTTGAAGACTGGTTCTTAGATAAATCTGTTGGCTAACTTCTTGTTATTGATCTGTAAGAGGAAAAGGACTTATTTTGGACCTTGGTGCCTTACTGTATATATTGATGTGATGTAGATTTTATCATTATTTTGCATTGCTGTTGGTTTTGGTTTTACTCAAGATGGGCAGCCACATAAATTGTATAAACCAAACAAGCATAGAAGAGTAATGCAAAAAAGAAAAAGAAAAGAAGAAGTTGTACTATTTATGCTAGGATGGAGAAAGTATGGTTATGAACTGTGGTGTTTAATAGCCTAGGCCTAGGGAGTATAATTTATAGCAAAGGATACAAGTTGTTCATTTCAAATACAGTATGTAGATTTTGTGTACTTAAATGAGACAAAGTTCTCAACCTATTAGGTATTGTTGAATAGTTTATGTGTAAATGAAATACACCCATACATATATACACACATAATTCCTGCTAAGAATTAACTGTAAAGTATAGATGCAAAACAGTATTTGAGGGAGTAAATATACTTTCAGTGCATACTATCAAAGGATGTCAATGCTGTTTATGATTTTAACACTTTTTAAGATTTTTGGACATCTAAAAAGAAAAAGAACACTAATTTAGTATAATTTTGTCTGTATGGTAAAGCAAGAAGAGGATCATGAATGAATGATTAATGAATCTGAATAGAAGTTAGAGTCACTAAATATGAAAGACGTATTTTAATCATATAGAGCAGAGGTCCCCAACCTTTTGGGCACCAGGGACCGGTTCCATGGAGAGAGATTTTTCCACGGACTGGAGGGGGTGTGGTTTTGTGTGCTGCCTGCATCCCGCAGATAGGGCTTTGCTTATTTGTGCAGACCGGTTGCTGGCATGCTGCGGACTGGTCCCATTCCACTGACTGGGGGTTGGGGATCCCTGATATAGAGAGAATGATCGAGGATTGAATTACAAAAATATTTGAAGAAAAAGCAAATGGATTTAGAACAATGGAAAAAACAATAAAATCATGGTTGGGTTGATCCCAAAAGAGAGGTCAGAAAATAAATTAATATATTTATATTTATTTATTATTTTTACAAATAACTCAAGGCAGCAAACATATCCAACATATTTTCCTCCTCCTATTTTCCCCACAACAACCCTGGGAGGTGAGTAAGGCTCATAGAGAGTGAGTAGCCCACGCTGACTTTTATGGCTAAGGTGGGACTTGAACTCACAGCCTCTTGTTTTCTAGTCTAGTGCCTTAACTACTAGACCAAACTGACTCTATATGAAGATCATAGAACAGTGATGGCGAACCTTTTAGAGACCGAGTGCCCAAACTGCAACCCAAAGCCCACTTATGCATCGTCGAGTGCCGGGTGGGTGTGGCCCATTGGGTGGGCGTGGCTGCGGTGGTAACGGCAGACTGGGTGGGACTAAAAAGTTCAATCAAAAAATCTCAACTTTGCAAGATCTTTTTTTTTCCCGCGAGAAGTTGAAATTGACTGATTGAACCTTTTTTTTTTTTTTTTGCACACGGCGGCAGAGGCCTAAAGCAAAAAGGTTTTATAAAACCCAGCTGAAGGCTTAGGACTGAGGTCACGGCGCGCGTGCTCACAGAGAGGGCTCCGAGTGCCATAGGTTCGCCACCGTGCCATAGGTTCGCCACCACTGTCATAGAAGCAAGGATGGTTTGCAAAGGTAAAAAAGTATGTAGGGATATCAAGAATTGTGGTATGAAACATAATTTTAGATAAAATTCCATTTCTTTTTCTTATCTTCTAGCTTTAATATCTTTGGCTTGCTATTTCTTGCTACTTTTTTGCACATCCAAATGAGAATAGTTTGGTGAGATATACAAGGAAACACTACAATAGAGGACACTATTTTTGTTAGAAAGTGCTAGTATTAATAAAGAAGGGAATTGGAGCCTTTGTGAGAATATGGAATTTAGAGGGCAGATCATAGTAAGGGTATCTTATACATTATAAGATTTTACATTCCGACTGTAAAGGTGGCATGATTTACATTGTTTTGATTCCTGATTTAAAGTGGGCATTTTTTCCACAATGACATACATATGCATGTACAGCTGAGCAATTTTATATTGACAATTATCAGTATAAACAACTCATTCTAAAATGTTCAGCTTATGCTGTCTTGGTTATAATAGCAACATTCAAAAGTGACACACTTGAGATTTCAACTTAACATTGGTGCCTAATTTGAATTTTTATTTAAGTGTTCAACAGATACACACTTGCAGAATGAAAGAAGTCGTCCCAAAGGTTCTTTTTTAAGAGGCAACTGGACTTTCTTGTTTTTTCTTTGAAGACATTTCCCTTCTCATCCAAGAAGCTTCTTCAGTTTTTTTCAAAGAAAGTTTTGTTCAAAGAAAAAACAAGTTCAGTTGCCTCTTGAAAAAGCACCTTTGGGACAACCATGACATGGATGACTGAGAATCTCCATAGACAATGAAAGCAGTAAAATATCTAATAAAAGATCATTTTAATATTCACAAAGCTACATTTATACAGAATAAGTGGAAATATATGTAAAAGTGTCTCAGTTGAAAAACAGACTGGTTTATCCCTAATCACAATAAGGCAGACACATTTGGAAAATTCAAAGTTTGGGATAGGTTGGAATACATATTCAACTGGAATAGAAAGTGACAGGCCATCAGAAGCAGGGTTCTCACTCAGCATCAGAAGAGCTTTGTATGATGTCATAAAGGTTTGTTTTCCTGCATGTACCTGGGACATACTGCATTTATCTGTGTGAATGCTAAGAGAGGAAAGGAATGGTTTATATTAAACTATTAATAACTAAAGAGTTTGGCTTATAAGGAAAATTCAGATTCCTAACCAACCTGACCAAACTGTAAGGCAGGGTCCCCAACCCTGGTCCACCATGCCCCCGCCAGTCTGAAGAAAAACATCTCCCCATGGGACCGGTCCCTGGTGCCCAAAAGGTTGGGGGTCACTGCTGTAAGGAATATAAATTGATACACCATTTCCTCATAATTTCCCCATAACATAAAAAATAAATAACCACAGCTTCATGACAGAGATGTCATTACTGGCTGAATTCTCCGAAGCAGAACAGGTTTAGCTTGTTTGATTAAAGAGTGTATCAAGGCTTAGAGGACTGATCAACAAAACTGAAAGAACTGCCAGTGAGATGACACACACCAATCAATCAGTGGTAAACTACATACCTCCATTGTTTTCTTCTCTTTTATTTGTTTTTCGGCATCTGCTTTATCCTGTTCCTCTGGCTTCTCTTCTTTGCTAAGGTCTTGTTCAACAATCTTTTGCTTTTGCTTTGCTATGCTAATCCAAGCTGGCATTTCAGCTGTTCTTCCATAATCTGTAACAGTCACAGGAGGAAACACACTTGTCTCTGTTGAAATAAGATTTAGGAAGATTATTATAATGGGTTCTCCTTGCCTTTTAGAACCATCTTCCCAAGGCACAAAGTTTAAAAAAAAAGAGCAAACCTTGTCTTGTAAACCTTACAAATGTCTAGCAGTATTTCTAAAGAGAAATATTCACATACATCAAACATCACATACATGCCAAGCTAAGAAATCCAGAGCTGATGTAGGTGTATCATTTCACATACTCACCCCCCAAGATTAGAGCACCCAGACCCTGTTGTCCTTTCATATGGTCCTAAAGACATGGTTTTGTCACAATGGCTGGGGATCTGAAGGCATGGCTGAACCCATGCTCTAGTCATATTGATTTCGTATGGGTGAATTTGTTTTCTCCCTAGTTGCAAATTACATGTTGTTTGTTTTTATTTTTTATATGACTTTAATTATTGTTAGTTGCCCAGAGTCATGAACTTGAGATGGGCAGTCATATATACTGAGATGACAATGGTGATGTTGATAATGTCAAACATTATAATGTCAAAGTAGACACTGCAGATATAGAGAAAATAGTTGCTGTTCTTCTACAGCCGCAGTTATTCAGAGCCAGAAGAAGTAAAAGAAGCAAGAACAACAGAAGTTCATAGAACTTACCTCTTCCAGAAAATGTCATTATGTATAGTTGCACCTCTGATCTGGACTTCCTTTCAGGTCAGTTATTGAGATTTTAATAAATTCTTTACACAGACTATAGTAAAGGAGATAATTCACACTGATACTAGAAACTAGAGTTAAAGCAACTGGATGGGACTTGTGGTAATTTCCATAAATAGATAAGAGCTCAGGAATTCTTGATCCATGATTTATGGAATAAGGGCTGTTCTCTTATCCTATTATCCTATAACCCTCAAATTACATATTCTGGGGTACCTTGTAACATGCTGTATGTTTTGAGTCAGTCACAGACTAAATGGTTGAAGAAGGAGAATGGCAATTTTGAACACAGTATTTGTATTTTATGTAATTTTAGATTTGTCTCAACAAACTATTCTTGCAACCAACTTACCAAAAACATTTATTGAACCCAGAATAAAAACAAGTACGTTTGTCCCAGATTTTCAATACACAAAAGCAGCGTAATCTTTTATTGATGTATTTATTAGATTTAGGAATGGCCTGACTCCAAAACATTTCTGGGCAGCTGCATGTGTGTGAATGAATCAAGTGGGTACATACTATAAAACTTGCATTTGTTAGGAGTCAAAATATTTTAGAATCCATTCTCCCTTTAATGTTCTTAAATATCAAGGAAAGCAATGCCTTACAAAGTAGAAATGAGAAGTATATAAAAAAATGTTTTCTTGGCTTTGGAACCTTTATCAATACAAACCCAATAAGCTTTTCTAAAACAAACAGCCATTATTATCAAACTGAGCAAGATCCACAACCTTGTTTTTGAAATATCTGTAGAATAAAAGCTCTGTCTTTGTCTTCTATGGAATTTGTGCTTTGTTTGGAAAGTCATACAGGCTTACCATAAACCCACAAATCAAATCAACCTTTATTGTCAAAGTACAATATGTGTACAATGAGATTGGCTAAGCCTCCCTTCGTACACACACCCCCGGACACAACTCACACTGACAACAACACACAATCTTATTACACCACGTGAACTTGTTGCACAATGTGCCGGCCCCGCAAGTCTATCATACATGGAGTTATTTCCCATTCAGGAGTCTGACAGCTCATGGGTAGAAACTGTTCTTCAGCCTGTTGGTGCGGCTGGCTATCAATCAAGTGCATCTATTGATGACGGAATTGAGAAAAAAAAATCAACTGGCTTCCATACAAACTTTCCACTCCAAGATCAGAATGAAAAAAACAGTACTTCTGTATTAATTTCTTCTCAGTTGGGCAAGAAGCTACCAGTCATATTAGATCTATAACTTTCATTTAACCAGCAGATGTTTCACTATTCAACAAAAGCAACTCAGTTCTTTTGATGTGTTTACAATAAAGACCTATTGGTTTCATTTCAGAATGCCAGTCAATCATCTGTTATAACTTAAATACTATTATGCTTTCAGCATTAAGTGTATATTCCAATGTTTATTTTTATTAAAAATGAAGTATTAAACTGTCAGATTAAACACACAAATTAAACACACAAACTATAAATAAATATAGTCTTTGCTTGCAAATTGTACTTTGGAAAGTTGTGGCAAACAGCTGCTCTACACTGGGAAAAGCACATCTAGTTCAAAATATTGCAGGCAGGTGTTATATTTTGCCTCCCATGAACTCTGAAGCACTTTGGAGGCTGAAATGCTGCGCAACTTGTGGAGAAGTTTCTCCCGTATCTGGGAGAAAGGAGGAGAAACTATCTATCTATGACTATTCATCATAAATGTGTAACTTGTGATTTGATCTGCTGTTTATGATAACTACTTACTTATCAAGTAGTGCAGGATCAGAAAACATGGAGAAACCTGCCCCATAAAATTACCAAGAGTCAGATACAATTTAAGGGATAACATCCTCATCCTCCTCATCACTTACTTATCAGTTAAGACTAAAGGGCCTTAGAAACAAATTTCATAAAGAAAAATAGTTTGGAAAGGACTGAACTGACTGAGCTAAACTTAGCTTTCCTGCTTTTCAAGGAAGGGAGTAGATTTGGTGCCAATGTGGAAGACCATTGTATTTTGACTTTAGTTACTTGTTTTGATTTCTCCTTCATATTAAGACAAGGCTAGAACTTATTCTGAGCTAACCTGCTTGTTTTTCACTCTTGCTTGCTGGGGCGGGGGGGGGGGGATCTTCACACAACTGCAAAGCTTTTTTTATTATTGAAAGTCTCAGACTTTCGGTTTCCATTATGTGCTACCTGGTCAAGATCAGATCTTGCAGGCTTGTGACCATAGGTCCATGAAATCATGGTGCCAGATTTTAATAAAAACCCTAGTACTAACTACAGGTAGCCTTTATGTTGGAAGCTTTTGCACAAAACCTAGCATTGAATTCTATGGAAACTGATCATCCTTGGGTATCTCTGCTGTCATTGTTAAGGAGCTTCTGACAGTTTGCAAGAGATTTGGGTATTTTTTTGCTTGGTATGTCTGCTTTTTATATTATGCCTTAAATTTTGTTTTCTTTAATCTATTAATCTATATAAATAAAAATGTAAATGTTCGTTTGTTCAAAATCTTAAATCTCCGAATGTTCTTCACCGATTGCTTTGAAATTTTGACACAACGTTGCATTTGAATACGCGCGTGTTTTTATATATGAAAACTAGCTGTACCCAGCCCTGCATTGCTGTGGCTCAGTCTGGTAAAAGCGTGTGATGCTTTTACGTCCAACAGATGGCGCTGTTTTTCAAAAAAAAGCATGTTTTACCTGTCACAGGTGTGACATATATATAATATAGGTATATGCAAACACGTGCATATTCGAATGCAACGTTGTGTCAAAATTTCAAAGCAATCGGTGAAGAACTTTCGGAGATTTAAGATTTTGAACAAACAAACATTTACATTTTTATTTATATACTAGCTGTACCCGGCCACGCATTACTGTGGCTCAGACAGGTTAAATGTTTTTACCTGTCACAGGTGTGACATCTATATAATAGTAGGTATATAACAACACGTGCATATTCAAATGCAACGTTGTATCAAAATTTCAAAGCAATCGGTGAAGAACTTTCGGAGATTTAAGATTTTGAACAAATGAACATTTACATTTTTATTTATATACTAGCTGTACCCGGCCACACATTACTGTGGCTCAGACAGGTTAAATGTTTTTACCTGTCACAGGTGTGACATCTATATAATAGTAGGTATATAACAACACGTGCATATTCAAATGCAACGTTGTATCAAAATTTCAAAGCAATTGGTGAAGAACTTTCGGAGATTTAAGATTTTGAACAAATGAACATTTACATTTTTATTTATAGAAAGATAGATATAGATAAGATTATATAGATGTCACACCTGTGACAGGTAAAAACATGCTTTTTTTGAAAAACAGCGCCATCTGTTGGACGTAAAAGCAACACACGCTTTTACCAGACTGAGCCACAGCAACGCATGGCTGGGTACAGCTAGTTAATAATAAAGCTTAAAATCTACCATTGGCAGGGCTTTTTTTCAGCCGGAACGCGGCGGAACCGCGTTCCGGCACCTTTTTCCGGGCCGGCCGCACCGGAAATAGCCCCTCCCACACCGGAAATAGCCCCTCCCAAATTTTACTTGCATTCCTGTTCTCTAAAGGGGCGGTCCTAGGGTTTGATGAGGGCGTGGCCAGGTTTGAGTTCCGCCACCTTTTCTC